GATGAGGGAGGGTTAAAAACCCTATGTACCAACAGTCTTTGGATGGTCTGTGGTTTCAACAAGGAAAATACTTCTGTTCAGAACTTTTGATGTCATGAGGAGTTAACCTCATGTAAAGGTGAATGTCATGTTCAGTTTTGCATGAAATCTTTTAGAGTTTAAACTGAGTTTTTTAATTGGCTCTTTATATTAAGTAACCAAAGCCACATGGAACAGCTCAGGGTTAAGTGACCAATGCAGATACAAAACACATGCACATGCCATCAGCTGTCTGTAATATGAGGATAAATGATGAGCAAACTGTGACTACAATTGATGAAATAATGACTGAACATTGCACTGTGAGCTGCTGTATGGAAATAAACACCTAAGATGTTGTATGGAAAAGTTCAACTGAAAATTTTTTGTGTTGATGAAAACAGCAGCATGTATGTTACTAAAGGGTTGCACTCGATCACTGTGATAAGCCGTATCGATAATAAACATACGAAAAATATTAAATGGATTGAGAAACACCAAACAGCAAATTACTCCCAAGTTTAACAATTAAGGCTAGTAAACTGAGTAAATTAAATCCTATTTAGGATCCTTATACAATCAACATGAATTATTACTGGTATTTGGCGTTGCTGTACCAAAGATTTGCCAGCGATCAAATCAAATCAATAAAATAATGCAAGTATGAATACGAACTTCAGCTTCAGCTGTCAGGGCTTAGCAAACAATTTCTTTCTTCAAAGCCTCTGGATGAGGACAAGCAGAAATGATTCAAAGACAAATAGTATTTTTTAAATTTTCTTTTTACATTTTCTCTTTTGATGTGATTGAACTCATGTCTTAGCAGACAATCAAGTGTGAGGCATGCATTCATGCAAATCTTTCTGGGGTCATTTCACGTTTATGGATCTTACGGTTGTGAAGATGTTCCATGAACTTAATTAGCGTTATTTACGTTATCCAAGATTTGGAAAATACAGGGAAGAAAAGGATTGAATTTTTAATACACAAAAGTTGGCAGACCAAAAAAGTAATCAGCAAAAGGTTTCAGTCTGGACTGATAGCTCTGCTTTCCTTTATAATGTGTTCATGTAAAATAAAAAATGTCATGTCATGGAAGCGCGAGGATCTCTGGCTCAAACCTGATGTAAATAAGTGCTAGTTTGGAAGGGTTGTCGAATATTCACAAATAGACTCGGTTGGTGTTAGTGGTGATAAGAAGGGTGTCCATTGGTACCAACAGAAAAGGATGTCATTCCAATGGTTCTGTTAGTTAATATGCATCTCATTAAGGGGATTTAGATTATTTTCGTCTGTGACCTAGCTGAGTACAGGGCAATTCTGATGGTCCATGGGTACCAATTGTACAATTGGTACCAGCAGAAAATGATGTCATTCCAATGGTTGTGTTGGTGATTATGCCTTTCATTAAGGGGACTTTGTCCTGATTATGCGCGCGATGCAAGCGTCATCTGTTTTTCTTCAAAAGACAATAGAACTGTCACATTGACTTGACAAGATTTGCTTCCTGACTGCACGACCAACGGATATTTGTTGTTTATATTCTCAAGTTCAAAGAAGTCTTTCGCAGCTCAAAGACTCATCATGATTTTATCGTTAGCAGGGCCGCTTTTGCGACCTGAAAATCTCGTTCTGCTCGCTTTAAAAAACAGCTTTTCTAATGAGAAACTCGTGTCAGAGGTCAGTTTTTCCAAGACCAGTAATATTTGCCTGATTTGCTTGCGTTCTAACCTCAAACATGTGAAAGACATAAATAAAAATGCAATCTCAATGCTATGAATCATAGCAAAGGTTAGCCAAAAATTCATCTCATGGCGCTAGTTTTTCTAAACATGTAGCGCCTGTTTGTTTGATTTTTGTTGGCCGTAGGGAGGTTCATTTAAAAGTTTACTAATGCGTTGTTGCAAAACATTCTGCTTCATGAAGCTCCCCTCCATAAGATCTCCTCAGTCACATCAATGTCTCAATGGTTTCTTTCTTATTGTTGCTGTTTCATTTCTGTGTATTTCTTTCACAATTATCTGCACTTGTATGGAAGCTAGCAGGAGAAATAAGCCTTCAATTGGCATCAAAGCACTTCCCATGCCAAAAAATACAGATTTCGCCCAAATCGAAACTTAATGGGAACAATATATCATTGATCTGTAATCTGTAACCTAATTTTCGTGTATTTTCTTGTGTATCTTTGCGTGTATGTTTTTACATGAGTGTTTTTCTCATGGAATTTATGTGCAATATGGTGGATTTCCACACATGAAACATGCGGGTAATGCTGCAATGCCCGTGGCCTGTACTGTACTTTGTGTGGAAGCAAAATTGTTTTGCGTGGTTGGCTTATAGAACTTGGAATATTCATAATAACTGTTGGCATGTTTCTACTTGATGTAAAAGGGAACTTGTTTTGCATAGATGTCTTATAGAATGAAGAATACACATGGTATGCTTGTGTTTTGACCTTGCTATATTATAACTGTTAACAATTACTATTAGTGCTAGTTTGACCTCGCTTTCGACTTAGATTATTTTCCCATGTGGACCATCGGAATCGCCATGTACTCAACTAGGTCACATGGGAAAATAATCTAAGTCCCCTTAATGAGATCCATATTCACCAATAGAACCATTGGAATGATATCCTTTCCAATCCTACCACTGGTACCAGTGGACCATTGGTTTGACGAATCATATCCATCTGTGTATATTGGCCATGTGCGAATATTTTGTGGCAAGTCTCCTTAAGTAACTTGGCACACAAAACACATCCACGATTTATATGTGACTTCTCGCACAAAAAAAATTCTTGTGTATGATATGTTTAAGGCGCTGAATGCATGGCAAGTCAACGCACGGTGGGCGCACGGGCTTCAAAATGTTACGAGGGTCTGCATTACGAACTGTCCAGCGGATTTTATTGTTATAATAGCATTCACAAACTACACGCACAGTATATTCAACATGGCTTCAGTTGAAGATTTCCTCGATGAAGTACTTTTGAGCGATAATGACAGCGAGTCTGAACAACTTCACGAATCATCCGGACCTCCAAGGACCACTGATATGGAGGAGAATCTAGAAGCTCAAATAGCGTTGTGTTTAGAAGTTTTTGATAAGCTTGATTTGGGACATAACCTCTATTTTTAAGGAGAGCGTTCGGCAACAAATCAAGGGCTCCTTCCAAGCCTTTAAACCACCTACCGACCCTCTTAAAATCCTGTTGAATACAAGCTTAAACTGCAGCTCCCTTTTTAAAACAGAAAGCAAATTATGGTTGCAGAAGATGTATTTTTAAACTTACAGGAAGACCAAGCATCAGAACCCATATCAATGTGAAATTCAAAGAAATATTCCAGTAGACTTGTTTCACTGCCTGAAGAGAGCACTTCAGCATTCAAGAGTTAATAACATTACAGATCACGTCACATATGAAGAGAGGTCAAAGGGCGATGTTATTTCGTTTATTTCCAAACAGGCCGTTGTTGTTTTTCTTTCCCTATTGAGTGGCTTAGATGAAAGTGATGTGAAGAAGTACTTTAAGAAATATTTGACTGGCAGAGTAAATGGAAAGGCTACCATTCTTGTAAACACCAGGAAGAAATTTGAATTTATATACGGGAAAAAGAGTTTACAGCTGTGCATTGTATTTCATTATGGAGTTTGGAACAAGGCTGGATTTCCTCTCCACAATTGAATATGGGCAGAAGTTGTGGCACATTGTGGCTCAGTCAATTACAAGCTTGGAATTAGCTGTGCCATTTATCTGGGTTGCATACTAACGCCATATGCCGGCAAACAAACCAGTGGCATCTGAAACAGTCTTTATTCCAAAACTATTGTTCAGTTTCCTTAACATACATTTATAATGTAATAACAATATAATTGACAAGTTCAATAAGTTTGTTGATGCAACAATACAACTTTGCTAAACTGTTTATAACATTAAAATAAGTAAAATATAAATAATTGTTATACAGAGTGATTGCACTCAATTCAAATTCATAATACAAGTTATTTTCATCCAAATATTGTAGTCCAATAATAAATAAACTGTTAAACTTTGTTTTGTGGGTTAAAAAAATATTTTAACATATAAATGCAATTTCTCAGATGCACTTGTGGATGGTTATAGCACTGCATGTAATCTAGTTCAGTCTGTAATCACAATAATTTTGTGCGATTATGGCAGCATTGCTTACGGACTGAATTGGACCCTACTCAGTCCTATTACCATTTTAATCAGTTTAAAGGTTACCCTTGTAACATTTTAAAGCCTGGACACATGCTTTGTGAAGATCACAACAGCTTCTTGTCAACAAGAAGTTTCCCCAACTTAACACTTTTATCAATTTGATCCATGTACTGCAGTAATGACACTTCTGTTGCTGTGGACCAATTTCAAGTCCACAGAAACAAGATTCCTCATTGGATACCCTTTTGGTGATGTATGTCTGTTTGTGCTGAAGGTTTTCCTCTCCATAAAAGCCCTTCTCCCGTAACCAAATCAGCTGTACAAATTCGTGGGAAAAAATTTGACCCCATCTTCCAGAAAAGTTGGTGTTTTGACTGTACCTTCCAATAGTGATATGCTTTGACTCCCGCCCTTCCATTGAGACACAATTTAGTCCTAACTGGTACTTGTTAAAAACATCCATTGCATGAGCTGGAATTACACGACCTATGCACCAGATTGTTGGGGAAATGGAATTGGTAAACAAACAACATGCTCTAAACAGGTTCAAACAATATTGCTTAAGCTGAGCTATGTCTTGCAGTCTGACATTGACCACTCTGCAAACAACAGAAACAATTTGCCTGAGTTGAAGACAAATGTGTGCAAAGACATGGAGTGTGAAGGTCTGCTTCTCACTGTCAGTGGATTGCTTCACTGCATCAATAACAAACATAAAATTGTGTAAAAACATTCTTGAGTCTTGGCCAGTGAATCGGTATTGAAAGTCACTTCCTGAGCCTTTGGTTTCATTAAACTACCGTCTTATCCTTTTGGCAAGACGAGGCAACTTCGCTTTATTTTGTAGACAGTTTACAAGTCTACTAAATGGGGCAGAATTGGGAACTTGTTCAAAATTCACCACTGATTTGTCAAGAGCTGATTTGCCAATACTTTCATAAAGAATTCTTCTAAAAAGCTGCTGGCATGCATTGTTCTTTGGGTGTAAAGGTTCTATGTGGGCCCTATCAATAAACTGCCCTATTAAGGGCACAAATTCCTGTCTGCTCTTTTGGTCAGAAATAAAGCTTGTTATCTTGTTTCTCTTTGTAACCTTAGAACCTTTTTGCTTTTCAAGTTTAAGTTTCAACTTCTCAACCTCCTTAGATATGGCAACCCTTTGATTGTATTCCCATGACTGCCGTGTGTGTGTAGGACCTGGTCCAAATGTCCCACTGATAACATCGCAATTACTGGTATTGACATTGCTAAAAGTTGAAAAGTAAGTTGCACTGACTGACAACTCCCCAGCTAAAAAAGCAAGCATTTTAAGGTCATTTGGAAATTCGGAAAAAATAAACCTGACCTCTGATCCATTAACCTGGAATGTTTTCTTCTCAATTTCTGACATCTCGCGAAAAAGAAATTTAACATATCGCTGAACAACAGGCGAACTTTCTGAACAGTTTGCCCCAAAAATAAGAAAATTTTCACTGTTACTTAAGATGTGTTTACCCCTATTAAGGAAACTCACCAGCCATGAACAGGCGGTGTCGTCTTTCCCAAAAGGGGCCCCGTCACCACCCAGCGCCACATGAAAAGTGTTGATCTCATTATTAAACCATACGAGATTCTCCTGAGCAACCTTTAAATAGAATGATGCCAGAAATGGCAAATATTGTGTTAAAGATCTGTAACACCCATTCACTTTCTCATCCTCATTTAAGTCATAGCAAAAATCTTCCTTTACATTTCCAACCCAACCTTTGTCTATAGACTTAACAAATGCCATCAATTTCTCATATGAAAGTAACTTAGCAACTTTACAGGACATAATAGTTTGCCTTTTAAACTTCTTCCCCTTCCTTTTGCTTATCTTCAT